CCTTTTCTTTTCCCTCATCTAGAGTTACTAATTCTTGAAATTTGGTTGAAAACAAAAAAAAGTGCAATATCTAAAGTACTGAATGAAGGGTACTGTTTAAATGTGGCTTTGATCTAAGTTCTGCTTAAAATTTTGGTTCTAGGGTTGCCAGCAATGGCAAAGAAGGGAAAAGTGAGATGCACCATGGAGAATAAGCCTGTTGTGGAGGAGAATGGCTCAAACATGGGTATCGGTGCAGCATTGCTGGCTGCAGCCTGTGCTGCTACCATGTCAAGCCCAGCCATGGCTTTGGTGGATGAGAGAATGTCCACTGAAGGAACGGGGCTTCCCTTTGGGTTGAGCAACAACCTCCTTGGGTGGATCCTGTTTGGTGTGTTTGGACTGATTTGGGCTTTTTACATCGTTTACACTTCCTCTCTTGAGGAGGATGAGGAATCCGGATTGTCGCTCTAAGCTTAAAGTCGCCTAAGTACCAAATCCTCTTGCTTCATAGTGTTTGCTGCAAATATCATGTTTAAAAGGAATGTAGAAAACCCAATATATTGGATCTCTCTTCCCTCTTTATATTCACTGTGTGCATTAGTATCTGGTAATTCGCATGTTAGTATCATATTTTTTTCCTTTTGAGTTCTATTGGCTACGATTCTGTGCTAGTTCATCTCTATGGTGTTCTTCAGTTGGTTGACATGAAACTGCAAGGAATAGGATAGGATAGGCTTCCTGAAAATCTCTTAACATAAAATCCAATAAAACCTTCCAGAAATCAGCCCAACTGTTAATTACATCAATGCAACACCCTTCCTATAGCATGTTTCTGGCCAGTAACACCTTGGTAAAGTGCAAGCTACAGCTTCTTGTACTGCAAGCCCTACTTCGTTTAAGTGGGTCCAACACAAGCTTTTGTTGGAGCACATGGCTGCATTTGTTTGTTTGCAATGATACGCCTGCAATACCCTTCAAAAGGCCGAATCAAGAAGATGAAAATTCATCAAAAACTTATTTTCAGAAGAGGACTGCATCAGGAACATTTTTTGCATTCCTATATAGCTTATCGGACATAAACTTTTAAGACTGGGTTTGCAGAAACATTGAAAATTCAGCACCAAACGGTGGCAGGAAGAAAAAAGCAGTGACCATTGTTTTGCACCTGAGTGTACATTTTGATTGCACCATGATAATCCTGCTTTGTTGAAAGCCTCTTCTCCCTTCGATTTTGACATCAGAAAATACTCATTCAACTTATATTCCCTCTGCAAGATATTTGAGGAAAGCAATTAACAAAGTCTGACCCCAGATAGGGAATCTATTGCCCTCATATTTGTAAGTATTAGAAAGTCTCACAACAATGATATATAACAACTCTCAAAGGATGAGAAAACATAGAAAAAAAATTCCTACCCCGCCCCCCACCCCAAAAACAAGAAAAAGAGAGAAGTCTTGGGAACCCTCTTTTTCTGCCTCATCAGAGCAAACATCCTTCATTATTCCATCAACGCTCCACTCTGGAATGGTTGGATTAGGAGAAGTCAGGGGAAAAAGAATCGTAACGTCCTGAAGAAAGTCATTTGATGCTGCAACTTCCACTGGTGTCATCTCTAACTGTGACATAAAAGACATCAAATTTGAACAACTAAAACATCTGAAACACAATAACCGGTAAAGGTTAATGACAATCACAGTCGTCGGTTGTCTCAACTCACAGTATCAGTCATATTTGGATCAGCTCCAGCATTCAACAAACATGTCATAATTTCAGCGTCCCCTTGACAAGCAGCTTGTGCTAAAGGGATAATCTTTTTTAAGCATACTAATTATTTATTAATATGAGTGGAAAAAATTTAGTTTCTCTTAAATAATATTTTGAATTTTAATCTTTATAATTGTTAGGAAATAGGCTTAACAACTACAATGAACTCTGTCTATAGGCCCATTTGCATGTATAGGCCCGTTAAATAAAGATAACCCAAAGGTAACTCAAAATGTGAACACGCTAACAGAAGTGTGTTCATGTGATTAGTGACACCTGAGTTGACTGTGTTAATTACGTGAGATATCTCGTCATTCATTAATGGTGTAAATACCTCTTTCTACCCCTATTCAAGATAATTAATTAACTTCACTATGCTTCTCTCTTCACAAATATTCTCCATGAGAGCTTTTCTCTCTTGATAGAATAGAGTATTATTAATTTGAGTATTAGAGTGTTTTCTCTGAGAAAATATCCTCAGGCTTTTTAAGTGTTGAAATAGTAAAAAATCTCAACAGTAAAGGGTTGTGAAGTTGGCTGAACAATAATAGAGAAACTAATATTGAAAGAGTTTCTTTTTATAGAGTTTTACTTAATTCAATTTTAAATTAATTGGGTTTAATAAAATTTTTAAATACAACTAACGATCTAAATAACTCAGTGGTAATCTCTTTCCGTTAAAAATAAGAGGTTTTAAGTTCGAGTTGTTTGACATACGGGAGAGGTGAAATAAAAGATGAAAAAAATTACCTTCTGTTGTGCAACTAACATAAAAAAATAAAATAAAATAAAATTCTCAAATACAAGAGTTTAGTAAAAAAAATAAATCTCTTTGAAGCATAGAGGTTTGGATCAGCTCCGGCCTTTAAATGAGGCTAAACATGAGAAGACAAGCGATATCCACAGAAAAAAAAAAAAATTCATACCACTTAAAGTAGAACTTAACTTCAAGCTTGAATATCTAAGTTGGATTTCCCCAAAAACTCATCTTTTTATTCCAAAATATATACATTGCACCATTTTATAATTAGTTTATATAAAAAAATTATAGAAGTTGATATTTATTTTTAAATTATTGATATGAATGATTTTAAATAATTTATTGATAAAATTAAAATTAACATTTACGCTTTAAAAATAAATTAATTGTAAAAAATATTAATTACATTATTAATTTATGCTTTAAGGCCAAAACCATTATAGTAAATAAAATAATAATAATTGAGGCCGTTTGGCAAAACTT